ATGCATACCAGTTGGATTACTTGTAGAATTTAATCCAATTTTTTTTTCTAAAATACAATTTATATAATAAACCTTACAACTGATGACAATGTTGTCACCTGCTTTGTCAGCAGGGGTCACTACGTACGAGGGTTGTAATAAAAGTTCGCGGACAAGTTCTTTTGTGAGCGCGCTATTTCCATTACATCGGTTAAACTCTTCAGATAGAAATTCTTCATAATTTCCAATAAATATGCAAAAATTTGTTGTGTACCGATTATTTTAAAAAAATATACAGATATATGAATTTGATAAAATATGCTTCACGGAGCATGTTACTTTTCGCACGTTTACCGTACATAGACTTTTTACTGAAATTTAGAAATTACACAGATGTAGCAAAATTGTTACAGTATTTATGAAAATTCACTTGGTGAAATTTTGAATCAAATTGAAGGGCATATGACTGCTTTGTAGCCATTTATTAAGAATCAACGTGTAAAAGCGAAGCCAAAAATGGGAACGTCATTGGACGTCATGGAGCACCGAGCTACTAAAACGTTTTGTGTACAGACATAAAACTGTATAAAAAGAGACTTCTAGATAGATGCTGCTTGGAAATACCCACACGTTCCAAGGACAAAAGTATTCAAATGATAGTAGCTTTATAAGATGGAAGGATTTACATTGTTAATGATCATCTCCTGTGATACCTCAATACCTCTCTTTTTGCATGGACGTTGAGCCTATGGATTATTTATTGTTTTACATACCTGATCGTTAAAACCTTTAAGTTAAGATCACGCTAATATCCAATACAGCACAAAAGACTAGATACGATCTCGTTGCGAGCAACGAGAGGTCTTCCGTCCGTTTTAGGATAAGACACCCACGTTAAATCGAGCTGAAAAGAGATTCAAAATTTTGGTCACAAGGAGGATTGAACCCATGTCGCCAACGTGAATGCGCTTTTTTTCTTTTACTTTTTCATCCGCTACGCGCTAACCATTAAGCTATTGGGAGTACTGCTCTAAACATACTTGTGTATACTTTTGCAACAGTTCACCTATCTAAGAATTACGAGGGTTGTCCCGTAAAATCGTGGACAAGTTGTCTAGTTTGAAAAATAATCATCACTGCATTCTGAAATTTTCACCACTTTTTAGTAGATAAATTATGAATATACATAGCAAATTTCAAATAGATATATGGATAGGTAAACAAATTGTGATATTTTATGTTATATACTGTATCGCCCTACGGCGCACAGATGATAACGTCAAAGTGTCTAAAACAGCGTCACGTTTCATCTTTGCTTAACTTAAAGTTGGATACGCCCCACTTAAATTTAGAAATTTTATTGATTTACATATGTGAGTATCTATAACCAGTTAAGAAACCAATGTGGCACACTCATGCGATCTTCTGAATATTTATTAGCAAGTTACAGACAGTATTCTCGCCATCAATCAACTAAAAGAGAATCTCACATCGACGGTCGACAGTGACAGCGTCCTTTGCTATTACAAATGGCAGTCTGTCCATATGTTTTGTACTATCTGGGGACTCGACCACGAAGACTTCACTAAGAAAACTTTCATTTCATTTATAAACTAAAGATCTGGTGATATTTTCATATTTTCTTTCTTCTGTATTCATTTAAAGTCTCTTAAGGCGTCATTACAACATCATAGTCTATCTGAACTGCTCTCCGGTGCGCCGTAACGTCATCAATAACCGCAATTTTTTGTGTATTGTGTTTACCACTTTCCCATTTCAAATGCTCGGGAATCTGCCAAAAATTAACCAAATGCCTTGAAATTTTTATAACTACGACAAAATTGATTAAGGAATAGAATTAGGATAATTTTCATCCTAATCTTATGTATTGAAAACTTTTATTATGAATTAATTCTTATATCGTATCTAATATAACCTTGCTATTTTTACCGTGCGCCGTAAGACCGTACCTTGTGCACATTCAAGCAGAATAAAATCTTTATTTTTGAATATATATTATCAAAAACATTATGATTCACTTAAATATGATGAATAAACATTTACTGAAAAATTCAGCTTAGTGCGCCCATTACTTTTCGAGAAAAACGCTTTGTCCACGATTTTATGGGACAACCCTCGTATAAAAAGCATTCATAATTTCGCGCCAAACGCCAAGAGTAAATATTCGCGCCATTTCTTTGGACTGATCTATTAAATAGGAATGATAGCTTCAATTAAATTTTAAAAATAAAACATTCTTAGCGCCTTTATTTTATTTCGACGTTATGAAAGTATATGTAACACATTATACATATTACATATCGTATCTAGCCCAGTTACACTAAAGCAGTGAAACGGAAATTAAGTTTTAAGATTGACACTCAATTGCAACTTACTACTGTAAACGTGTCGGACTTGGGCGGTCAGTAGGTTCGTGCTCGGATTACCGAGTTTTACTGGGGATACGATTGAATGCAATATATACACTCAGATAATAATATGACACCTGCCTGGTGTCTTTAAATCAAATGACCTAAGTGCTTTGTACAATCAATACCGGCACCTGCCTGGTACCATATGACAATTGCCTCACTATACAACTGACTATATACATGTAAGTCAACAGCCACCTGCCTGGTGCCTCTTGATTTAGCCTTTAACACCTGCCTGGTGTCTTAATGCTTACCAAGTTGCCTATATAACTCTAGCCAAATAGCTACAATATACTTACACAGTATTTAACTTTGTAAGAGCTTCTCTGTCCTAATGACAAACCTATAGCTACCGTCACACGACTATATTTTAACTAGTCACTGACTACGGCATCTGCACAATTTGATTTGATTGATACACTAATTGGTTTTTGTACCAAAGTGAAGATGCAAGCCAAATGGCTGTACTGCCCCCTTGTACCTCAACTTAATCAATGATCATAAGTTATCAAATATCATATTGATAAAATACAACAGACTGCCTTTCTTTTGGCAACAATATTATTATTTTCTAACAGAACATCATTTATAAATAATGCTTGTATAATTCTTTTGTCAATTGACCAATTAATTACAATATTTACATTGATTATCTATTATAATAAACAAGTAACGGGCGGTAACTCCTCCAACCATTTCACTACTACGTGAGAGTCGAAGTAGTTTTTTACATTTCATATATCCTTATGTCAGAATCGTTTAATCAAACGCTCAGCTGCCTCCATAAACCCCTACTCGCGAAATGGCAGAGTCTACAGAGACAGCCGCCATTTTGGACCCGCTTCAGATTTTTGAATGTTTATATCTAGACTTTGGATCTGTCAATATTCAAACAGAGTTTATAGTAAGCATCATTGGAAAGGTCTCTATTACCCAAGTTTAAAATACTTCAAAAATATTGAAAAACAAAAAAGTTAGAAAAATCGACTTTTGAATTTCGCATCTGGAAACAACAGGAAGTACTGACGATGAACGAAAAGTTGCGTCCTGGATAGTAATTACGACGATCTTTTATCCCTGAAAGTTTCATTTTGATATCTTTTACCGTTCTTGAGATAATCCGTGGACAAAATGTCATTTTAAAATCAGGAAATGTCCCGTAACTTGGCACCGTTATCTCTTTTATATACTACTTTTATAAGACCTCAAAATACGCAACTGAAGTTTGGTGTGGGTGTTCTGTTCGCTTTACAAAAATTAGAAAAATTACAACTTGCAGCGGCAAGAATAGTCACTGGTTTAACTTCATTAGCATTGCGAGATTCTCCCTATTTTGAAACTGGTTGGGAACCACTTGCTGTAAGACGAATGTCCAAATTAAGAACAACTATACATGTATAAAATATATTATAACATAGTACCCGAGTATCTGAAAGAAATATTTCAAAATATCCGATCACACGAATCAAATTACGTTTGTATTGTAGACACTCATGTTCTGTTATGGGGAGAATAATTCGATCAGTATTTCTGAAAATATAATGAAAGTTTATATTTGAATGTGCAATTGTTTATCAAGAGATCTGGTCGTTTTTGAAAGTATTTTGATTCGTTTGTATATACAACATCAATTTAAATTCTGTACATGCATTACCTATGTTAAACAATCTTATTGACCCTTGGTTCCAATGTAAATTAATTTTTTTGAACAATATTTCGTGCAATTAATTGTTATAAAGGAGAGGACGTTCTAAGTATTACGTACTTGTGTCCAATCCTTTTGTTGTAACATCTTAACAATAAAATATGTTCAAACCAATGAGGGGGAAGAGGCGAAATACGAACTCCATGACCGGTATATATTGGTTGTAGACTTTTGAATAGTCAACATCTACTTCTCCTAACGAATGAAATAAAATAACCTTACAATACGTCACTATACAATAAATTCAAACTTTAACATACAAGAAAGACGCTGTTCTTTATAATGAAAAGAAATTCAGTAAAATTTAACATATCGATGAACAAAAATATATGTATAAACTTATATAAAATTCAATTTGATATTTGCAAAGTAATTCCCTCATTTTTATGCTTCATTCGTACTTTTTTGGAAATATTTAATTGTGGTAGTTCTAATATAAACAATTGTTACCTGAAATCCCTTTTATATATCTTGCAGATAACCCCATATTATCTGTAAATAATACCAAGTTTTAACCTTCTGTCATGATGATTGAAGATAGTAATTTAAGAACAGAGATATAAATTACACGTTATTCATGTCTCTGGTAAGAGTTTTCTATAAAAGTTTGAATACCTATTTGACAATTACATATATTGAATTTAAACCATGATAACACTAATTATTTTCTTCCTGCTTTACAAAGTAAAAAGTACATGTAATAAAAAAATGAAAATAAAAGGTTTGTGTGAGTGATACAATGGACTCATAAAGTCAGAAGCATGATAATTTAAAATTTTATTTTCAACAATAATGATGATAAATCTTAATTTACAACATTAAATTAATTTATGTAAAACATCTGACATGGCAAGAAGAACAACTCCGATTTTTCTCTTCGCCGGTTAACATTCCTGTAATCTGATAATCTCTTATCAGCAACTGACCAGATTCAGCTAATTTTGCGCACGCCTTCATTCTTCCAGCGTGCATTGCTTTGTCAACATACATTCGCCAGTCATCTTGATTTGTTTTTGTTGTGAGCCATTCAATCACTTGTTATCGCAGGTACATAAGTCTACTCTGTTAGAAGAATTTCTAATTCAATTTATTGTTGGATTATCCTTTATATAGGTACATTGGTGAGATTCTTTGGATGCTAAAAATTTTGTGTATGCTTTACAATATTTGACGGATTTTGTGTTTGACTGGCGAAATACGTTAATACAATGCTATGGAGACCCTGTTTCATGCGCTCATCATCGTAATTACAACTTAGCAGGAGTAAATGGAATGTGGTGAACGTTTACGTATGTTGACTTGAATTTCTTTGTTCTGCTTCGCTCCAGTTTGCCGGTCTTGGAACCATGAATGACCTAGTGAACTTTGTGGCTATTTATATATTGCCCAGCATCCAAGATGCATTGCGGTAAACAGTCAAAATGGCGTCTGTTTTGATTGCTGGAAGTTCACATGTTAAACGATTTGAGCACTATGTAAATCAAAATCGAGAATTTCAGAACTTGAATTTAAATCCAAACACTTTTGTAACATTTTATGGTATAAGTGGAGGAAAGCTGACAAATAATTCCCACTTGCAGGCGTTAGAACAAAACTTAGGCACGTTTCTCCGGACTTTCTCATCTTACATTTAGGTGGTAACGATCTGGACACAACTTCGGCTGATGAAACATACGCTTATGAGTTATGTTTACGACTTTGTTGTATTGCGGAAACATTTGCCCGTCGTTTCAACATTAAAAAGACAATTGTTTGCCAACTGATGCCGAGATATCGGACACGGGTATTAGATATAAATAGTTATAATGAACTAGTAATTAAATTCAATAGAATACTGAAGAGAGAGCTGTTAGGAAAAAACTGTTTGCAGTACTGGAATATAAAAGGTGTTAAAAACAGCCAGCGTCCAGTATTTTGCGATGGAGTCCATCTGAACAACGAATGGGGCATGCGAATTTACTACAGAAACTTGCGTGGTGCAATTATCCAATGTTTAAAATAAGATTGGTAGCAGGGACATCTACATCGTATGGTCCGTCAACATAAGCAGCACATTTTCATTCAGGTTCACTTGCAACTAAAATAGATAAGTCTGTTCAACATCTGCACGATCTCAAGCAAATTATGAATTATAATATGTAATGAGTAGTCTTATTTATACGGTTAGTGGACAATGGTTTACAATTATGAATGGTAATCAGTATGTCTGCGTTTTATTACTGCATATTGTATTTGAGATCTCAATTATATGAAATGTCATAAACATAGATATAGAATACGCTACTTAAACTGTGTACAGTACAAGTGGTAACATTTTATGTTGGTATCAGATACACTGTGAGCTGGCACAGTTGTAAACGTACATTCCCGAAAGTATGAGTTTGCACAGTGAGCTGGCACTAATGCATCTCATATATATGTTGATACACGTACGGTTTAGAATGTGCTATGGCACATACTTTATGAATTTGTATGTACGCACGTGTATTATGTTTCTATGTTCGGGCACTATGATAATGTACGATATGTTCTGATACAAATATGATTTGTGTGCAAACACTTTCAGTTACTCACTTGTGCATAGGCGTACATTAAGTAGTTATGATGTCTTCTTTTATTCAACGAATTCAATTGAGTATGAACGCTTTCAACTATGGCTATGATATGAGCATGATGAGCATAGACATGTATGTTGGACTCAATCATTTTTGTCAGGCATTTTTTTTAAAGCCATGTTTACACGAGCGCTTGGTACATCTTCATTGTGCCAGGGCAAGCGGATCTGTAATCAGGCGAAGATTCCTGACGGGAAGTTGGTTTGAGTTTACAACAAGCATGTGATTTGTATGATATCACTTAAGTTTCGTATTTTATTCAAGGTAGGAACATGCCACCTAAGAGAAAAAGGAGTCGGGTGACAAAAGCTGCGGAGCCAACCGAGTCTCAACCAAAACGCAGCGCACCGTCTAAAGACCTGGAAATCGTGGATACAATCCAAAACGCAATACAAGCAGCCATTCCTGGTATTACGAAGGCGGTAATGGATGAGATATCCAAACAAAAGACTAGTACTGACACCGCTATAATGCCAAGTCCTTCAGCGCCTGAGGGGGAAGCGGCCAATGACAGCGCTGTGGAGCCTACGGTTAATCTGGGTATTTCTAACACTTTCCTTGAAGCCCAGAAAGTATTTCAAAGCCTCTAGCCTTAGGCATTGATTCTAAAATTAAATAAAAAATATGGGCAAACGAGTTCGTCGATTTTGGCACTTTATTAAAGCCAACTGAAAAACAAGTAAAATTTTCCATCGAAGAAGGTGATGATGGCTTAACATTTGTAAAGGAAAAATCCACCCCTCTTAAGATTGAATCCATTCCTCAATGGATGAAAGCTTTTCATATATTCGTTAGTATATTTTGCGAGAGGCACACAAATGATGCCACAAAATTGATGAAATATGCGTCTATTGTTCAAAAACTTGCTGACCAGTCTACTGCATCAGCAGCCATTCAGTATGACAAAACTTTTCGTCAATGGAGAGAAATATCTCCAACCAAACTTCCATGGGACCAATTAAACGCCGAATTGTACCAAGAGGCATTGGCATCCGGTATTCAGTCAAAGTTAAAGGGAGTAACACAAAAACCTACTTTTCGTCCCTTACAGGGTACCAAGGGGAGGGCAGGGAATAATAAACTCGTATGCTACAACTTTAATAATTCCGAACAGGGAATTTGTCATAGAAAAGATTGCAGATTCTCCCACACATGGCAACGCTTTGGTGGGGAACACAGTAGAAAAACTTGCCCATCAACCCCAAAACTCCCCAATGTAGCAAACAAAAATAAGCAAAAATCTATCCCCCAAATCGGATCATCAGAAAGTAAACAGTCAACCCTTAAACTTACAAAATAATCCTTTTGATATAGTAACTCCCGTGAATCATCAACTGTTACAACATTGGCTATCAGATTACAATGTGAGTGACAAAAAATTTTTAGTTGATGGCTTTACAGAGGGTTTTAAAATTCCTTTTCAGGGTGTTCGTGAGCAGAGGTTTTGTAACAACTTAAAATTAGCTGATCAAAATTTATCTATCCTTCAAGAAAAAATAAATAATGAAGTACGTTGTGGTCGAGCAGCGGGACCTTTCAAAAATGCTCCATTCAACAATTTTCAGTGTTCACCATTAGGTTAAGTGCCCAAAAAACAAGAAGGGGAATTTAGAGTAATACATCATTTATTTTATCCTGAGGGCCAATCTATAAATGATGGGATTCCGCAGGATATTTGCTCGGTTCAATATCAAACCATCGATGACGCGACTAATTTATTAAAACAACTTGGAAGGGAAGTTTTGTTTGCAAAGACAGATATTGAAAATGCTTTTAAAATCATTCCAGTCCATCCATCAGATCGCGAATTGTTGGGTTTTAGAGTAGGAGGTGGGTTTTATTTCGACAAAACCTTACCAATGGGCCTAAGTTACTCCTGTAACTTATTTGAAAGATTTAGTTCTTCATTGCATTGGGTAATGGAATACCACTACCAATCAAGCTGTGTTCATGTTTTGGACGACTTTCTTTTTATGGGACCAGCCCATTCAAACAATTGTTTGAAATCTTTAGAGAACTTCCTTCAATTATGTAATGACATAGGTATCCCAATTAAGAACGAAAAAACAGTGTATCTCACAACGACAATAACATTTTTAGGTCTAGAAGTCGATTCACTAACTATGGAAGTTAGGTTGCCAAGGGATAAGCTTGATAAGCTAAGAGATGCAATAGATTCGTTTAAGCACAGAAAAAAAGTAAGTCTAAAAGAATTACAATCTTTGATTGGATTACTTAACTTTGCTTGCGCGGCTGTCCGACCAGGTCGCACTTTCCTACGACGGCTAATCAACCTCACAAAAGGCTTAAAGCTACCCCATTTCAAACGGCGTTTGAACACAGAGGCTAGGGCTGATCTTGAAGCTTGGTCTGTTTTCATCAATAGTTTTAATGGTAGGTCATTGATATTAGATGATAGGTGGGAAACCTCTGAAACACTATGTATGTATACGGATGCAAGTGACCTAGGATTTGGGGGTACATTTAAAACAAAGTGGTTCTTCGGAGAATGGCCACAAGAGTGGGGCCAGTTTCACATTACAGTCAGAGAATTGCTTCCTATTGTGATAACTTTAGAACTATGGGCATCTGATTTACGGAACTCCTGTATTAATTTCTATTCAGATAACATTGCAGTGGTATACATCATTAACAAACAAACTTCAGCAGACCCAATAATTATGAAGTTAATGCGTCGTTTCATAGTAAATACATTAAAATACAATATTCTTTTCAAAGCAACACATATTCCAGGTGTACTTAATGTAGCTGCTGATCGCCTTTCTCGCTTGCAGGTCCGGGAATTTCAGGACCTATGTACAAATATGGACCCAGTGCCATCAGCAGTTCACCCAACAATGCTAACACTCTGAAAGATATAGCGACAGCCATTCTGAAGAATTCCCTCGCTCCTACATCAAGGGCAGCTTATGAAAAAACATTTGCTTTTTACGCTGACTTTATGTCAACCTACTTTCCTAATGTCTCTTTACTGCCTCCTACTACTGAGCATTTGGCGCATTTTATAGCTTTTTGTTTTCAAAGTAACATCGCAGCATCAACCTTGAAAACTTACATTTCGGCTCTGAGTTATAATTTCAAAATTCAAGGTTTTGAAGATCCATCACAACAATTTGTAATTCGCAAAATGCTACAGGGATATCAAAAGTTAAAAACAGTAGGAAGTGACACAAGATTGCCCATAACAACGTCAATTCTGAAACAGCTTGTAACTTCTTTAGACAAGTTAGGCATTTCAGCCTATTTATGCAGTATGCTAAAGGCAATGTATTTGCTGGCTTTTCATGCTTTTTTAAGGGTTGGTGAAATAACAGTTTCGTCTTCTACGAACGTTAAAAACGTATTAAATCTGGTCAATGTAAAACTCGTTTCGGATAAACTAAATTCCAGTGAATCTCTTGAGATTACAATGGATAATTTCAAACATAGTGCAGGCAAACATATACCCACGTTGATTCTACAAAGAAACGAATCGGAAGAGCAATTTTGTCCTGTTCAGGCTATTCAGCTATTTCTTAAAGTTAGAGGCCAGTCACCAGGCCCTTTGTTTGCATATCCAAATGGTGATGGGTTACTAAGACAACATTTTACAAATTATTTGCAAATGTCTCTTAAATGGGCAGGGCTAAATACGAGTCATTATAAAGGCCACAGTTTTCGAATAGGAGCTGCGACATGCGCTGCAGCAATGGGAATTTCAGAGGAAAAAATCAAACGAATGGGAAGATGGCATTCCGACGCTTTTAAAAAGTACATAAGAATCCCTGTGCTTCATATTTAGATGAATTTGATCATGGGGTCATGAGTCTCTGATCAAATAGTATAAATTAGTATTTCACCCCTTTTATTTCTTCGCGAAAGCATAGGTGAGGGTCAGCAGGTTTTTGAACAGTAGTTTTCCTTTCGGTTAATCTGTATATATGTTGCCGTAGGTAATGACTTTCAGACTTTTGAAATTTAACATTGGGTCATGGGGACATGGGCCTCTGATTCCACAATTGCTAGTGAACTATGGATGAGAGTTTGTTGTCATTTGAAATTTGACACTGGGTCATGGGGACACGGGCCTCTGATTCCACAATTGCTAGTGAACTATGGGTGAGAGTTTGTTGTCATTTGAAATTTGACACTGGGTCATGGGGACACGGGCCTCTGATTCCACAATTGCTAGTGATCTATGGCTGAGAATGTGTTGTCACTTGAAATTAGACACTGGGTCATGGGGACATGGGCCTCTTGACTTCATAACGGGTAATGTAGCCTTGCATGAAAGCATTTTGTTACTTATTGCTGCATGAATGATATGAACAGTTTCTTCACGAGGACAAGGGCCTCTGACAATTCTTAAAAGGGAAATGCTGACCATTACTTGTACATCATTTAAGCACTTTTGTATAACACAAATGTAATTTGTATTCTTTATGTGAATGTTACTATATATCATATTAATTGAAGACAATAGTTTTGGGTGGGGTTTATTGTATTCATTGTTTCACCATGAACACAATAATGTGGCGATTTTTTATGCCCCACCTATGATAATTGGCTTAACAAAATGTATTTGTTAATTTTATGCACAGGTTTTTTATGATTGTGTAATGTTTGTCAATTTGTTTAATTAGTATTTTTGCATGATTTGTCTCGTCATTTATTAGATCAAAATAAATGACAATTTTCAATTCAAACTCTCTTCATTTTGTTTTTACAATATCAAACGAAGCAAAACTATTGTCAGTGTATTTGCATAAAATCTTAATTTACAACATTAAATTAATTTATGTAAAACATCTGACATGGCAAGAAGAACAACTCCGATTTTTCTCTTCGCCGGTTTACATTCCTGTAATCTGATAATCTCTTATCAGCAACTGACCAGATTCAGCTAATTTTGCGCACGCCTTCATTCTTCCAGCGTGCATTGCTTTGTCAACATACATTCGCCAGTCATCTTGATTTGTTTTTCCCACCGTCCCACCCAAATGCTTTTTATTTTTATCTTCTTGCCATGTTTGATGAGAGAAATAAATTGAACTATTAAAATCAGTTTGTTCTTGGTATAGTAAAATTGTATGGGCGATTTTTTATGCCCCACCTTTGATAATTGGCTTAACAAAATGTATTTGTTAATTTTATGCACAGGTTTTTTATGATTGTGTAATGTTTGTCAATTTGTTTAATTAGTATTTTTGCATGATTTGTCTCGTCATTTATTAGATCAAAATAAATGACAATTTTCAATTCAAACTCTCTTCATTTTGTTTTTACAATATCAAACGAAGCAAAACTATTGTCAGTGTATTTGCATAAAGTTATTTTTATCACTATGAGTTACCCTTCTTTGCATGGAACAGCTTAAATGAAAATTTGTTTAAGTGTTTTGTCCTTGTACACCTAGACAAAACGTGTTTGATTTATATTATGTGTTTATTGTAACACTTGTGTAATCTAGCAAAAGGCGTTTAAGGTGTTTAGAAAAGTGGGAAAAATTGTTGAATAAAGGCTTGACCCAAAGGAAAATAACACCTGAAAGTGATAGGTACATGTAAATGTTATTTAACTACTCCTCCTTACGTATCCCCCACTGGTGTCTATGCAACGCATCTTGTGCATTTCAGCCATCGATTTTCAAAGTGGAGGGCCAACCAGGGAAAATTTTCTTTTACTCACCTGAAAATGTTGACAAGCAAAAAAAAGTTGGAAGGGGGTGGGGGGAGGGTAGAGGCCAACTTTCCAATGCCAACTTTTTATACTACATTTCCATCAACACAAAAAGTTGGGAGCGGGGGGGGAGGCAACCAACCTTTCAATGAACGTTTCCTAAAGTATTAGTATGGTTGTGAAAAAAATGAGGGGGGCAGGCCCCTCTGTAACCCCCCCCCCCCCCCCCCCCGTTGCTGCGTGCCTGCATTTCTTACATGTACATTATTGAATGCTAAAGGAATTTGTGTATAAAACGAGAAACCATGATGATTAGGAGAAGACACTTAATGTAACTGGTTATGTATCAAAATGATGCAATTCCTCGTATTTTGTTCAACCTAAAAAGTATAAGCTTGTACAATTTTTTTTTATAAGTGATTACCTGATTTAATTCAAAGATGAGGTATTTGATTCCGATTCTTGTATCCATCATAACTATCGGTACAGGAACTTTTTTATGCGTCCGGATTGATAACTCTACATTGTTTTTGTCCTGTCTTTCTGTCTGTCTGTTTGTCCAGCCGTTTGTCTGTCTGTCTGCAAACTTCAACTTTCGCCTTAATCTTTGAACCATGAAAGATAGATATTTCATATTTGGAATGCATACTCAACGAATAAAGTTTTTTTTCAAATGACACAAAGGTCAATGTGACCTTGACTGTGACCTATATGCTAAAAATAGCTTTTTTTCCCTGCAAAACTTAACCTTCGCCGTAACGTTGAGCTAATAAAGAAAGAGACTTCACAGTTGGTATGCTTACTCTACTAATTAAGGTCTTTCTAATAATACCAAGGTCAATGACCTTGTGACCTTGACTGTTACCTATATGCTAAAAATAGCTTTTTTCGAACTTTGTTGAGGCCAGGTGCATAGTGCTTCGCAAACACATCTTGTTACATGTATATGCTTATCATTACACAGTCAACAGAAACTGTATCAGAAGATTAATTCATTGTGCGAATAATTCAGTTTTTTCGGGGAAAAAATCTTATTCATTCGTTGATCTCTTAAAAAAGAGGTTGTTTGGTTGCCCTCTCTTGGCCAACTGACTAAAAATTAGGCTGGTCCCCTGGCACGAAATTCACTTTACACTTGGTGAATTCCAATAAAAACAAACAACCACTGTAAAAATATAAGGACATTTATTTCATTTTATAAACTTCATTTTACTAGTCATTTTTGTTACAACAACAAGCAACATGATGTTGGATAAACTATAGAAGACCGGATGTAGAGTTGTAGATCATTTCATACTATTATAATAGGTACTTAAAACGGATTATTTTTGTAAAACTACTTTAATGTCTGGTTTTCATACCGATTGAAAGATATCTTAAATAAAAAAATAAAACGTATTCAAATAAGGCAGGATAAAATTAATTCTACTTTGAACCATAACCAAAGAAAAGAGAGGAAAATGTACAAACAATTCATTCTAATGAGTATTCCTTCATTTGCATGAATCTTAATGCTTTGATATTTGTTTATTATGTAAGAGTATCGGTCTTTGGTCATATTTCGTAAATCTGTCAGTTAGAAATATAATTTAACTCATTCCAAAATACACTTCATAGAGAGCCAATATAATGTAGAACGCATAAAGATTCTAGTTGTTGAAAGTAAAGGCAAAGCAGAGTTACAGATATTTTAAATGCTAATGCATTTTGTTTAATGATTTCAATTTCTTGAAAACTACAGATGCAGTACTTAGGCGCGCTAATGGCTAATGACATAAAATTAAGTTTTCATAGAGAAGGATATGGAGATAATGAACGGTATTCAATCTCAAAGTTCGTGAAACAAAAACAAAATAGGAGCAGAGCAAACACGGACCTCGAAAACATCGGAGGTGGGATCAGGTGCCATGGAGGAGTGAGCATCCCCTGCCGACCGGTCACACCCGGTACTAGGTAATATCCAGGTGATAAGTTAGAAAGAAGAAAAACCAAAAAATATAATTATATATTAATCATTTAGGAAGAAATATAATAATGTTATATTAATAATACAACATGACATTCTAAAAATAAAAATCATTTAAAATACGTTTACAACATATACATGTATTGTACATATACGACCATGTATCTACATACATTGTAAAAATTTATGTAAATTGATGATTTCCAATGAAAATAACTTCATTAACAAATAACTGTACACTGTACATGCTCATATGACATTGTAAAGAATATAAATATAACAATATATTTACAATACCATCTCAACAAAAAATAATTATAACAATTGCCTTCCTATACAAGAGATAATTCTGATAAAATTATATACAAACATTGGATTTCACTTAAATTATAACATCTAGGTAAATAGTCTGTGCGCTTGAACTTTGCAGATAAATTAACCAGCTAAAAATAAGTGTTCATCAGCAAGACTAAGATCGAGTTAATGATATAGGTTCGAGTTCACTAGCTAAGGGCTCGAGATCACGAGTTATAGGTTCGAGTGCACTGGTTAGCGGCTCGAGTTCACGAGTTATAGGTTCGAGTTCACTGGTTAGCGGCTCGAGTTCACGAGTTATAGGTTCGAGTTCACTGGCTAGGGCCTCGAGTTCAGACTTAAATTATAGACTTTAGTTAGCCAGCTGGGGACTTAAGTTCAGACAGGTCGACTAAACTAATTTCAACTGAAGTTAAAACCTACAGACTCAAGTTTAAAAAATCGTGGAGTCGAGTAGTTAATACTTGAGTTCTATAGTATAACAATGATAGTGCGTTCCACACAGTTATTGTTCTAGGCACAGTTCTTTACCTGTAGAACTCGAGTCATTCTAGCTCTTTATGCTCGACTTAATTTACCGCAGGATTGGGTTCAAACACCTACCATTCGAGGTAGATGCAATCTCACCGGCTAAAAATGGAGTTTTTTGTCTCTAAGCTCACATTAACGACTCCAAGTTCAAGTTAAACGTTCTCCCTGTGAGCAAAAGTCATTCACTAAGTTTGTTTCTTTTTAACTCTACAACTTTAGAAGAGCATTTGGGTGAAAAACTACCTTGAATATCAGCGCACATCTCTGTCACATCCCGTAGAAGAGTTCCATTTAAATTGAGTACAACTATCGACAAACGTTTAAATGAAGCGTCTTTTCGCATGTTTTACACTTGACGTAACAACACCAGTAATATTTACATTCACAGCGTTCAACTATTGTTTTGGTGAAGCTTCGGTAGCCCCGCCCACAACACATTGCGTCACATCCGCCCCAACCGGAACTGTCAGTCCTACAAAACCTACAACAAAAGGATAAAATTAAAAATCAAACAATTATACATGTATGTCTTTTTTGAATTTCTTACCACTTATTTGTAACTTCCTGGTTTCTTTTAAGGATGTATACACTTAATTTAATTAAAAGTAAAATATTTTAGTTTTTTGTTTAAAGGGGAATAAACGTTGCAGCTGATGCAGGAATGGAACATAACCCGTGTTATAGTTTCAGTGATTAATTCCCGTACTAACGCTCAGAGAAAGAGCTCTTAGTGTTTTTAGCAATTATATCTGTACAAATAATTATCTAATATAAGATAAAGTACCTAACTCAAACATTGTATTTATCGGTACACGCCTTGCACGTTTAATTGATGGAATAGCCACTGCTATGAAATTTTAGCAGGTGATTTGGTTATTGGTGTTTACCGACTGATAAACGACAGTTGGTTTTTCTTGAGAAATAGAGGAGAAAAAAAATATTCACTCCATGTAAATATCCATGTTTAATTAAGCGAAAGTCTCTACGTGACTTTACTTCATGTCACTTATGAGAAGTTTTTATTTTTCGCGTATTTGATGAATATGACGCGTGAGATTCATTTGATAAGAAGAACATTTACTTTTATAATTAATCAATACACTGCATTCTAATATTTATATAGCTACCCTTGATGCCTGCTTCGTAGATGACCCTTCCTATATTACACGTATATATTCCATCTAGTACGAAAAACAGTTCAGAAGTTATCTCTCTTTGATTACATTCTCTCTACATGTAATACAAGACCAGAATCAGTCTAAACTTTAAATATGAGTAGACTTATTTTATTTTTCCTTCACGCTTGCTAACACCCTAATCAGAGTCCGTATGATTAATACATCACAACCGTAGCAGATTTACGAGGGGAAATTTTTATCACTTTAAAAAGAACGCGAGGGCTTCTCTGATGGTATCGCTGAGAATATTGTGAGCATGAACTCGGCTCTCTAGGGCAAAGAGGTCATAAAGGTCGCTTCTGAGAACCGAATTCTCTAGAATAAGAAGATAAGAAAGGTCTCTTTATTCTTATTGTCAATTGTAATCATCATTAAATGTGTTTTA